CATGGAAGAGTCTTCACCCCAAAACTGAAGCCGGAAAGACGACAGCACACAACTTCGCAGTGTTCGGGGTTGAAGCTTGTGAATCAAATCTTGTCAGAACAAAGTCTGGCACCAATGAAGGACGGTTTAGGGTGTAGGGTTCTTTCAGACTGGAATCCCCTCCTCACGTAACGAATGCACGGCGATCACTACAATTAATGGACATTGCACCCTACCCCCTAAGCCTAAAACACTAAGCCCCGAAATATCCCGACGGTAAACAATGGGATCCTAAACCCGACGTCCAGCTAAGGTAGGCCTCAAACCGTGCTCTCAATACCGACGCCCGAGATACTCTGAGCCGACCTCACCGACCTCCAAGTCCCCAACTGAGAGCTTCTTTAGGGTACATATTGGGGCCCCTGGTTCGTGGAATTCCCAAATATCCCCCAATCGTCGTCGTGGTCCTCACACCCCCGCCATTGCTGAATTACCGCTCTTCCGCAAGAGTTAGAACCCTTTCCAGCGAATCACATCCGGCATCGCAAGAAATTCAAGGGTTTACGGTTCTGGAGATTCGGATCTAGGGTTTCGGGCATGGTGTTGGGGCAAAGCCTTTTTGATAATGTAGGGGCCTTAAAAATTAGAATAGGGTATTAGGGCCCATTGTGCTATAATTACAACAAGGAACCCCCAAAATAGTCGAATTACTTGGAGGGGCAGAGGACTTAGTAAGTAGGCTATATGTGGAGTTATAAGTCCCCTAAATGGAGTTACCCCAATTATAACCCTACTTATAACCTACTTACTAAGTCCCCTGCCCTTCCAAGTAAACCTAGTACCCTTATAGATCCCTTTTCTAGTAGCCCCTATAGACCTCTTTAAAGGAACCCTGCTCAGAAGTGCTCCGGCCAGGTCTGGCCGCAAAGCGCGCAGCGGACAGCGCCCTGGATGGGAACTTAATAATTAGAACAGGGTTCCTTTAAAGGGGTCTATAGGGGCTACTATAAAGGGATCCATAAGGGAACTATAATATAGGGGCCTTGATGATTAGAATAGGATTGTGCGGTCAATTATGCTGTAACTATAATAAGGAACCACCAAAATAGTATTATTGGTAAGGTTTTAAGCACCTATATTATGCGGCATCGTTTACTCAATGCCCAGTTGAACGTGCAAGCCTACGAGTGGACGCAGCATCCAGGCATTCAAACATTCTTCCTGTTCTCATTCCTCACCTGAAACCCAAAACCCTAAACTCTAAATCCGAAAACCCTCAAACGACAATAAGACGGCGATCTGGGCTTCCGGCGTCAATGGGCTGCCCCACCTCCACATCATCGTCGAGGACGGTGGACCCTGACCAAGAACATCGCGTATTTTTTTTTGGGGGGGGTTGAAGCTTGGCGACTCGGGCATGTGGGAACCGGATACTTGTTCTGGGCCGTATGGGTCCCACAGACGAGAACTGCAGCGAGACACCGAGCCCAACTCAACAAGATCCTCCAACTGAAACGCAACTCGAGCTCTGCATCTTTGAAATCCGGGGTGAGAGCTGCAGCTTCAATGGACTTTGGACGCCACGCGTGATGCAAAAAAACGGATGATGATGAATCTTTGGAAGGTCAGACTGCAAACACGACTTCCGCCAGAAGGGGCCTGGCAATGTCAGCTCCATCTCGGCCATGGCTTTCAATGATGTGGATGCTGCAACTTGGATCAAACTGAAGCTAGGAATGAACCGTTGCAAAGAAGCTCAGCCCTTCTGAAACCGTGCAGTGCCGAAGCTAATCTGTCTGCTTCAAGGTCTGGCAACCACCTGCAAAAGCAGGCAAAACATCCACAAGTGGCAGACTGTGCATTCAGGAATGTGCGGTGTCTTCACAAGGCACTACCACACCGTCATTAAATCACTAAACGAGCATATAGCGAAATACATCTTGTCAGACACTGCAACTTACTGCGAAGTTGGTGGAACGCAAGATGTTACCAAATTTCAGTACACAGGATTACGTGGGATGTTGTCGAACACATGAGGCATGACGTATCTTAACTGCAAGGCGATATGCAATGCTGCAAAATCATACGAAAAGGAGATACTGCAACATAGCCTAAAACATGTACTACAACATACTAGAACAAGCATGGAATTCCAAGGATTGCAAGGCACTCCATGGTATTACAATGCTTCGTGCAAATTTAAAGCCATATCATCAGAAACCGAAGTGATATGTTAGGGATGAGAAACTACATCACTGAGCTTCTCTCCCTCTCTGTCTCTGGGAGACTTTTCAAAACTGCAGCATCCCTGGATCCTAAACACCAAAGCACCAGCTTCGCCTTGCCATTCGACATACTTCGACTCACTAAGTGAAGCATGTGAGGCTCAGGCTCTTCTCGGAGAAGACGTGGCGGCAGACTTCGCATGGCCCACCTCCCCATAGGCACAGGCCTTTTTTGAGAGAGTCTTTGGCGAAACTATCGGGCTTGTCGAAGTTGAAGAGGTGCGGCACAGATCGACATGTATGAAGAAAAAAAACAAAGTGGGCTAGGACAGCACGTCATCTTGAAGATATGCAGGCTGAAGAGTCCAGAGCAGGGAAGGCGCAGGTCAATCATGCAAATACCGCATTCTGCATCCAACCCAGATGTTCTGGCTAGAAACCCGTGGCGATGGCGAGCCCGCCTGCGAGACACCACACTCTGGAGCTGCACCAGCATTTGCCACAATGGGCAAGTGCCTGGGCCTGTGTCCCAAGCATCACACGCCGAACACACAAGCCGTCGAGGGCAAGGAGCCCTCCACCATCACTCCTTGGCACACAAAGGACAAGCTGTCTAGATCTTTGCAGCAGCGGCCAGTGAAGGACGGAGCATGACTTGGCGCGATGACAAAGCAAGATTGCGGCACGACTCGTGCGCAGTTCTGTCGCGGTCGCCTTCCAGTGCTGGCGATGCCTCACCGTGCCGATGGAATCGCACGCGGTCCCGATGTCCAGGTATCCACTACCGGGCTACTTCAAGCCGCCAACGCACTCCCGACATTGTGCCCTAAGTGAATCTGGAAAGGAAGCGAGTCAGAGCAAGCCACTTCTGTAAGGAACCTTGCCCAGTGCGCTGCAGCTCGGGAGAGAGATGCCGCGGACACTAGCAGGCCCACCTCCTCAGAGGCACAAGCACAAACAACCTTGGAGACAACTTCAGGCAACGAGGCCACCGGCCATGTAAACATCGCCTGCAACCGTCGCGAAAGCCCGCTTGCAGGCTTACCTCCTCCCGAATGCAAGACATGGCTTGCAAAACTCCTGTGCTGAGCTACGAGTATCTCTCTAGAAAGCAGGGCACGAACGAGCAGCCATGCATGCTAGCTTTTGCCGCTGCCCTGCTCGAATCTCACGAGCAGAACCATGTGACTCGATCGCATTCGCACAACCTTGCCAAGTGAGAAGCCTCCCGACCCACGGTACGCCACGCCTCTGCGACCAACATGCCCACATTCAACTTGCCGGCACCAAGAGAGGAGGGCTCCTGTAAGTAGCAGGACGAACATATTGCAATCCCCGGCAACGTGAGCTGGATCTTTATGTGGCACTGAATGCCACGACGGTTGGACTATTGCCCCATTCCAAACTGTGTGCCCTATGTGGGACTGGAAAGGAAGCAAGTCACAGCAAGCGACGTCTGCAAGCAACGCTGTCCAGGGTGCCGCAGGCCATGCAGGCAACAGGCCCTGGTCAGAAGAGTGATTTCGCCTCCTCCCAAGCGCAAACCCTTGTTTGCGAGAGTGCTTGGTCGAGCACCTTGCATGCTAAAACAACAGGACGTTCGGCTTGCAACGAAGGGATGGCACTGATTGACGGATCGCGGTAAAGCGATGTAAAGAAACAGAAGTGTTGGGTATCGCTAGTTAGCTTGACACTTGCCACCAGCTGCTGCGGTTGTAAGCAGGAAATCGAAGGATGGCTGCCTCCAACACATCGAAGGACACTGGCCGCAGAGACATCGACAGCAATCGGACCAGGACCACAATGGCGGTCATGCTGAGAGACGTGCAGCAAACTCTGCAGATTCTGCAGTATACAAAGCTGGCATCTCGAGTGCATTGTGAAAAGCTGCGAGCATGACAGATTGGACAGTATGTAGCAAAACACCCGAGCCTCACTATGCGAGGACTGACGGGGAAAAGGCGCCACGAACATGAAAGCAAACAGGGATGCTGCTACTGAGCGATGCTGGGAGTCTAGAGACATGGAGCTTGTAAAGAGAGGCTTTGCGTGCTGGCTGTCATCTGCTGGCGCCGGATGACAGAAGCAGGCAACGAAGGTTGCCACAGCATGCCGGGCTGGTGTCTAAGTGGCATGAACACTGTAACACCCTTTCTGAGGCGAAACTAGTCCCAGCGGTCCCAGCGTCTCCAAGTGCGACTGTGCACCTGCATTTTTGCAGGATGGAGTCATTGAAGGCCCGGTGGCCTCGAGAAGCATTACAGAGGAAGCATCGCAAGCGCAGCACTTTCAAACGGCAAAAGCAATCGAGTCCTGAGCTGCGAGCTGGATCGACACCTCCGGCAGGAGAAAGACTGCAGCTTGAAGATTCGTGCGATGCTGTTTAACTTTAAAAGAGGGCATGCAGCAAAGTGCACCGTCGAAGGCTGACGACGACGACGACCACACGGCGGCCTGCTTCCAGAGTCGTCATTTTCGGATGGGAAGACACGCGGCAAGTGACAAACTGTCCTATGTCACTTTGACCATGTTGGCAGATGGAGCCAGCTCAAACTGCGCAAAACACAGTTGTGCGCAGCTGCCGAATGCAAATGCATGCTGCTGCTGCATGGTGCTGCACACTATTCGCAAGACACTGCACTGCCACAAATTAAAAGGTTCTCCGGTCCGCCTAGCGAATTATCCTGCATGCCTGCGAAGGCCTGTCTTGCACTTCGCCAACGGCCACTACAATACGCTGCAAGCAGGTCTGTCTGCCCCATGCTGGACAAGCCTGAGAGCAAGGAAGTCAGCGAATCAGAATGGCAAAGGTGGTTTCCCGCCAAAGTCGATTGGCGCTGAGCCGTACACAACTTGTGCAGTCGTAGTCCAAACCATGAGCAACAGGTTCACAATCTCACCCCAAGTCATACGTCCAACCTGTTGAGCAGCGCTGTGGAGCCCATAGGCTGCGGCGAAAGCCGGTGTACTGAGTATCAAAAGCACCGAGCGAATGGACCTGGCCCATGCGTGTGATGCACCATAATGGCCAGAATCTCGATCCCAATGAGGATACTCTTCCATGCTCAGGTTTCGGAAATGAACAATGCGATCCATTGCCATATAGAGGTGCAAAACTTCCACTGGCGCAAGCAGGGCAAGGTTTTGCAACGTTATCCCAACCATCTCCACTGACTGCACATAGCCACCCGTCAGTTGTAAACTGACGCCCCCATTGAAGATGGCATTCAAGTTGCCTGCTGAAACGACATGGTTGAAGTTGTGCAGAGCATTGGGAAAGTTTTGAGGATCAACGGCCTGGAGAATCGCCAAAAGGGCCTTGAAAAAGTTGTACTCGGCATTGCCACGGGGGAACTGTCTGTTCCAACCAGGTGGTATGATGGTCGCTGCTCGTGGACTAGACGGGGGCGTGCCGTCCTCCTCTCCCTCCATTAGCCAGCCTGTGTGGATAGACCCTTCCCTTCCAAAAGGGGGAAGGACTTGTACCTGCCCTTCCATCGGCCAAAAGAGGCAGTCATCCTGGGTTCCAGCTAATGTAAACCTCACACACCGAGGCAAGCGATCGAAGCCAGCCCTGCTAGGACTCCACGTGCACTCCTCCTCATGTCCTCTGCCACTTCGCTTGGAGACCATCCTGCCGTCAACACTCACAAAGTCGCCTGGGTAGTTCACGCTCTCAAAGCTTACCGTCTGGCCTTTGCCTGTGATGCCTCTCCGCACGATCCAGAGTGAATCCTGAGAAAACAAGCTCGAACAATCCCAGGGGTCAGCGTAGATTCTGCCACATCTGTGCCTGAGATACCTCGGAGGGTCCTCCAGCGTCTTCAGCCGAATTTTGTGCCCCGGCGTAAGCATCTGCCTGCGCTTCTGTCAAAAAGATTGTTGAGCCTCTCTTTGCTGCTTGGCTTGAACCAAAGCGGCTACCGCTCCCCCCAACCCTAGATGCAATCGCCAAAACATGATGCAAAACTTGAAAACCTTTCTTAAAATGCCTGCCAGCTACTGTCTCCCCAACTACGTGTTCCGTGTTCCCATCCCACGGCTGTCAGGTGTGGGTGGTCTGTGTCGGGGTTTCTCAACACCCGTCCCCTGCCGTGAGCCCAGAAAAGATTTCAGAAAGGCCCCGAGCCCCGTTGTGAGCGCTGAAACATGTCATTTCCCTGCCCCGTCCTGGTTCAGAAATCCAATTTACGTGGATTCTGTGCTTTAAGCCTTTAAGCAATCTTGCATAGAATCCACCCGAAGCAGTTTGGGATCTGCTGCACCAGTTTTCTCAGATTGATCCAACTTGCCGCCGCTTCGGTACCTGATTGCAACGAACCCATACCCACAAGCCACCTGTCAGCAACGCAGACAAACGTGTTCGGCTTCTAACGGCTCCTGTACCCTGCCCCTAGCCGACCTCATCAATGAGAGACATGGCCGGTCTAATACCTCACATCTGAAACGATGGTCAAACGATCACACGGCAGTCAGCACGGCAGCGGCTTTTGCATGAGTCAGAACTGATCTTATGCTATGAGCAGCTTTTGCATGAGTCAGAACTGATCTTATGCTATGCTGCAGAAATTTGGGCTGTAAACCGCTAAGCACGCGAGGGTAGAGACAGCATTGCCGACTTCTGTCGCAGCCCGCACAAATCGAGACGTGTGCCGTGTGTTCTGCTTTGATCATAGCCTGTGCCACTTTTCAGTTCTCTCCGTGATCGTTTTGTTCACTGACTATGACGGCAGATCCAAACAGTGCCAGACGACAACTTCTTCCTGTTTCTCAAACAGCTCAAGGACGAGCTGCACTTGATGATCCGTCACGGCCTTCGCGGTCCAGATCACGTACCCGTGAGGGCGAAGATCATCAAGATGATCAAGATCCACAGCAGCAACAACAAGTATCCCTGAGCATTGAGGAGCAGCAAATCCGTGATATCAAATCCATGGTTCAACGTGAGTTGTCGGAGCACCTATCTTATGATGCAGTGCAGAAGATTAAGAAGGTTTCCCTTGACCTATCGCAGAAAATTTCATCTCTTCACAAACTCAAGCAGCGCATGCAAAAGAACGACGACGACTGCAAGTTGTTGGACGACGGCCGTATTCCGAATGGTTGCAAACCTTTGAATTTCGCCTACGAAACACCACTTCTTGATTCCGTTCCATGCGACTTGATGGAGTGGCGTGTTGAGCTTGATACCAATGCTTCAGTGAGATTCGCCAAGAAGCAGATCCACAATGCCTATTTGAAGGTCATGAAACAGTTGGACGCCACTATTATGTCGAAACAACGAGATGCTCTTCGTGAAGAAACCAAGAAATCTTCGTTCACAAGGTGTATTCTGAGTTGCAAACCAGTTTGTTCTGACCTATTTGCAGAGCTTGATTTGGATTTCGAAGGTGAGGACTTTGGTACCAAAGGTATGCCCGATGACGTACTCCAGGCAAAAGCCGAAGTCATCTACACCCACACTGTCCAAGCAGCAGCTTTAACTGTGCAGAAGAAGAAGGAGCTCGAAACATCCGCAGCTAAGTCTAAGGATAAAGTTCTCAAGCAGCTCATGGAATCAGCACCTGCAGAGTTGTTGAATCAAGCCATCGACCAGCGTATCGACAATGCTTTGGCAAAAGCAAGTACAAGCAAAGGCAAAGGCAAAGGCAAAGCAGACAACCGTCGAGATCTTGCTAAAGGCCATCCCAAGGGGATCTCTCGGACATATGATGCGAGTAAGGCTTTTGTGGTTACGAGTGGAGAGCAAGATGCAGATGCTTTGAGGTCGTGTCTTCATGATACTTCGTCTACGTCTAAGGGCTTCGGCAAGTACGACGGTGGCAAAAGCAAAGGCAAAGGCAAGGGGAATCATCATGGTGGCAAGGTTGGTTTGGATCCTAAGGTCGCCAATGTCATCCCGAGTTCCGGTGGATGTGCAAAATTTCGTTTCGCCAACAATATCCCCAAGGACAAGGGCAAGGGCAAGGGCAAATGGAAGGGCAAGCCAACCAACACGAAAGGCAAAGGCAAGGGCAAGGCAGGCAATGGAGGAAAAGCCAAAGGAGGAAAGCATGGAAAAGGCAAAGGCTTCAAGGGCAAAGGCTACAGCAAGACTGCAGCCATGAGGCCGTGAAGCTTTTCACAAAAATGGTGAGTGGTATGTCTGCAGCTGATCTACAATGCCTTTTGCAATGTGGCAAGGGGCTTGAGGGTGTATACATGTATGATCCGGTTGCTAAGACTGCCTTCGTTCCTGCCGCGTTTGAAATTCCTTGGCCAGTTGAGTTTATTCTTCGCCATCATCAAAAGTATGTGTTTATGAATCGAAGGTTGCCTAGCATGAGTGAGGTTGGTAAAGCCTTGGATGTTTGGGCAAATTCGCTACGGTGGCGAGCCTTCTTCCACATCAAGTCGGACCAGGATGGGGGTATGCCTGGACCATCAGAGGCCGAATGTGACCGATGGTGGCGACTGCGTGGTAATACGATTTCAGCACCGTTCACTGGCGTTCTTCCGGAGGTATGGGAGGCATTCATCTCTGATGCTTGCAAGTCAGCTTATGGTGCGTGTCTTAGTATGCGAAGCAAGTTTTCGTTCAATAGGAACCGTGTTTCAAACATGAATTCAGTCGCGCGGTTGGGGCTTTCCATGTTGAGATCTGGTGAATATGGGGCTGTTCCTACAGACAAAGATGGTGGCTATGCGATCGTTCACAAAACATCCTTTGTTGCTGCCCTCGTTCAATGCATGGACCAGAACACGTATGATCCAGATGTCATGTTGCACGACCTTTCTGCGCAAGATTATGCCGATAATTACGCGTCTCTTGTTCAGTGGATTGCTCAGGATGCACGGGATCCCACTCTTGGTCATGCTTTGTTGCGTGATGTTAGGATGGGCAACCGAAGGTTTATGTCAAGAGTCATCGCGAACGTGAAGACTCACAAACAGCCTGGCAACATGGGGCTTCGCATCATTCATTCTTCGCCTGGGTTGTGTATAAGTCCTGCCATGCGATGGATTTCAGAAAACATCCGACAGTTCTTCAGCGACAAGCCTCATTTACTTCGTGATACAGATGATCTTCTTACGAAATTACAATCAGTGGTTGTTTCAGATTCCGCAAAACTGGTGCGCTTTGACATCCACGAGTACTTTATGTCAGGGAGTCACTCACAGATTGCGGACTTAGCAGCACGGTGTTTTCCACAACATCTCCGAACTTGTGCCCGAGCTCTTATTTTCTACATTCTTTCTGAGCAAGTAGTTGTTATCCCTGGCTGCAAACAAGCTTGGAGAGTTCGAAAAGGAGCAGGCATGGGACTGTCATGTTCAGGTGAAATCTCGGATGCAGCATTCTATTTCCTTGCAGAGGAGCACTTATGTACGGATCCAGATGTCTGCGCGAAATACAACATCAGATTCTATTCCAGGTTCAAGGATGACGGCTTTTATATTGTGGATTCACCTCGTGAGTTACATCTTCAGTTCGTGGAAAGGTTTAAAGCCAAAGCGGGAGTCTACGGCATTGACTTTGAAAGTATTTCCTATGAGTCTGCTGACATGCTGGACGTGACTTTGTTCAAGGGCCCTAAATGGCGGGTGACTGGTCGCCTGGACCATTCGCTTTATGTGAAACCTTCGAGCCAATGGCGTCCACTTCTTTGTAGCTCATATCATGCTCCTGCAGTTCATTTGGCTTGGCCAGTTGGGATGGTCAAAAGATTTTCCAGGCGTTTCAGCAATCCGCATGAATCGCATGCCGCAGTATTGAAGTTTTGTTCGTCTTTGAGGGCGTCTTCTGGTATTGACTTGAAACCGATCCTCGAGGAACGTCGATGCAAACCCAGCTCCCCTTCTCCTGGGATTTTCTCTCTTCCGCGTTTGGTTCTCCCGTACAGACGAGAATGGATGTGGTCGAGAGTCCCGTATCATTTCAAACAAGTTGTGGCGAAATATGCCAGATGTCTTGGGCTTGAGTCCTTGATGCGAGTTTCTCCCGTATCATGGGCTTTAGCTGGGCCTCACTTAGTAACTACACTGAGGAGGCATTTATATTTGGAGGCGTTGGGGTAGGTTGGTGGGTTTGTTGTTTTTGTTTCTTTCGGTATGCGAAATGAGCAGCTTTTGCATGAGTCAGAACTGATCTTATGCTATGCTGCAGAAATTTGGGCTGTAAACCGCTAAGCACGCGAGGGTGGAGACAGCATTGCCGACTTCTGTCGCAGCCCGCACAAATCGAGACGTGTGCCGTGTGTTCTGCTTTGATCATAGCCTGTGCCACTTTTCAGTTCAGCCCTGCTAGGACTCCACGTGCACTCCTCCTCATGTCCTCTGCCACTTCGCTTGGAGACCATCCTGCCGTCAACACTCACAAAGTCGCCTGGGTAGTTCACGCTCTCAAAGCTTACCGTCTGGCCTTTGCCTGTGATGCCTCTCCGCACGATCCAGAGTGAATCCTGAGAAAACAAGCTCGAACAATCCCAGGGGTCAGCGTAGATTCTGCCACATCTGTGCCTGAGATACCTCGGAGGGTCCTCCAGCGTCTTCAGCCGAATTTTGTGCCCCGGCGTAAGCATCTGCCTGCGCTTCTGTCAAAAAGATTGTTGAGCCTCTCTTTGCTGCTTGGCTTGAACCAAAGCGGCTACCGCTCCCCCCAACCCTAGATGCAATCGCCAAAACATGATGCAAAACTTGAAAACCTTTCTTAAAATGCCTGCCAGCTACTGTCTCCCCAACTACGTGTTCCGTGTTCCCATCCCACGGCTGTCAGGTGTGGGTGGTCTGTGTCGGGGTTTCTCAACACCCGTCCCCTGCCGTGAGCCCAGAAAAGATTTCAGAAAGGCCCCGAGCCCCGTTGTGAGCGCTGAAAC